GTAATCTGAAATAAATGTTCGGTTAACGAAATTAAGATTATGCAAAATAATTTATTTTCTCAATAATTTTAAAGCGTGTAAAAATTATATTTACAAAATCATCATAAAAGTAATTTTATTAGAAAAAAAATGAAAAATTTATATATTTCAATTCTGCTAATTTCAACGATAACCGAACATCTATTAATAAATTTATTCATTTTTTTATTTCAGATTACTAAGTGTCCAGATTTTATAAGAATCATAAAAGACTAAGACACATCATGTAAACATTTTTATAATTACTATAATTTTCATTATTTTTACTTTCAAACATTATTAATTATAGATAAAGTATGTATTACAATATTATGTATATAAAATTTAAAATAAATTGTCCGTAAAGTTTAAAAAAAAAATGAAAATCGTTTTTTACTAGTCGAAACGGTAATCTTCCATTAATAGTGCAAAAACATACATCTAAACGGTTCTGCTAACTCAATTCACAAATTAATAAATATCGAAACTGAGAAATTATCAGAATTACTTTAACATAGTTCAAAAGTTTTCATAACAGCTTGAGCAGCTAAGTAAATTGCTAAAGCCCGTCTTACATAATATTTTGAAATAATAAATCTATTTCATTTTTCAACGTCAAAATAAAAATAAAAATTCATTCTATTTATAGTTGCCATATACGTTGATTCTGTTGCCTTAAGAGAACTTCATATGCTTGATAAGAGTTACGCGAATTTAACTAATCAAATAGAATATCTATGAAACAAATATAAATCAAATCATGCTTGATAGCCCTAAAATTCTGGTAATTTCAAATTGTTCATACAAAACTTTAAAGTATCAACTAAAAACTAAAGTATTAACAACACTGACACTGAAAAGTTTTGGTAGTCAAGTTAATTTTGATTCTTTTAAAATATTTTAATGATTTAACTGTTATTTATTTCTTTTCCGTAATTTGTCAGTTTCTTGAAAGGGCGCTAAAAAACAATATATTTTTCCTCCCATATTTTGTTATCATCATTATAAAAAAGTATCTAATTGCAAAGTACATTTTGAATTAATTTGAGCATTTGATAACTATCAAATAAACATATTTTTCAGTTCTGGGATAAAAAAAGAGAGGATCCTATAAAATTAAATGTCAATATTCAATATTTGTACCACAGACGCGTGCTCATTAGTATCATCCAAAGTTAAAGATACAACTATAACTCCAATTTCATGTCATTTAATTAGACTAGTTTTTATAAACTTAATATTTTAGAGTCACACAACTCCATCAATTAAAAAATAATCAATGAGCAATTTCTATTACCAAAAGCTAGAACCATTAAAGCTAAAGCATTGTAGGTTTCTCGCAAAGTATCATCCGTTTTAAATTCAGCTCCAAAATTTACAATCTACTTTACCATCTCTATTCCTCTGGATTTATTTTTAATTGACACTTCATCCATAATAAAAATAAGAGTAATTTTTCTATTCTCTTCATAGTTGTTTTTTAACTTTATAGTTGTTTTTTATTTTAACGTCATAAAACTTTTCAAAACAAATTCCAACTCTATGAAATTGTATCACGATCTTAATGCACTTGCTGTAGACAAAGCCTGCTGTTTATCTTTTCACACACAATTATATGCACAAGATAAGCAAAAATTTAGTTAACACAAAATTTGTGGGCATTGGCTCAACAACTTACCATTTTTCAAGACACTATAAATTCTTTTACAACCTCAAATTGAATTAAGGCAGCTCAAATAATTTTCTGATGCATTGGCTTTACTATGCGCTGACGTCGTAATTTCATTATTATATCTTTTAAGTTCATTAAACGTATTCGAAGATGTTGAAGCTGTCGTCTCTGAAGTTTAATAATACGGTCCTTACTCTTTAATATTTTTTGACTTTTTATAAGTTTTCTGCGCAATGTTGCTGGAGAAGCATCATAATGATGATCATGGATTATTGAGCTTATAATTCCAATATTATCGGACATCGATAATTTGTTTGCATTTTCTTCTGTAAAAAATTGAATATTGAAAAAAATTATTTCATACTAATTATATATACAAGTTAAAAATTGTTTTTTTAATTACTTTGAATCAAACAAAGTTTTGCTTGCATATGTTTAGAAATGATACCACAGTGTAATTTATTATTATAGATAAAAAATACATTTCATAAGGAATAAACAATATATTCGTGACTTTCAATCAAATTATAAGATAAAGTTTACTTTTTTTTTTACAAGAAAATGTCAAATATTGTTTAAAAAAACTATTTTTTAAACATTAAATCTTAATTACTTTGGAACTTGACATGCTGGAATTTTTTGGCTTGTCACAATCTAGCATTTAAAATTCTATAGAAAACACTTAATCCTGTCCAAAGTAATTTTTTGTTGTAAACTAGTATTATTTTATTGTGTATTATTATGTACCATTAGTTTCATTGTTTATAATAAATGATTCTTCAGATATAAATATATTTTCATTCATAGAAATATTATTGAAACTTACAAGGGAACACAACCAAGTGAATATCTCTGATGAGCGAATATCTAAATGAGCTTTTAGTATGTTATTCT